CACCTAATCATTCTCATCTCAGCAACACTTAACTTATTATTATGCTTCTCTTTTAAAGGCCAACATTCAGCGCCATAGAGCATTGCAAGTCTTGCCACCGTCTTATAAAATTTTCCTTTCAGTCAAAGCGGTACTTTTCTATCACACAAAAGGCCCGAAGCATTCCTCCACTTCAACCAACCAACTTGAATTCTACTATTAACATCCCCATCTATATCACCATCGCTTTGAACAACGGACCCAAGAATCTAAATCGTTCACACCTTTTAATAATTTGATCACCCAAAGTCACACTTCTGTCACTAGAGCTATTACTACTAAAATTACATTCCATGTATTCAGTTTTAGTTCTACTTAAACGAAGGCCTTTAGACTCCAATGTAGACCTCCATAATTCAAGTTTTTCCTGGGCTTTTTCTCTCGTTTTATCCACGAGAAGAATATCATCAGCCAAGGAACATCCTCCTTCAGATGTCTAGAATGACCATCCATAACTAGAGCAAAAAGATATGGGCTTAAAGCCGATCCCTGATGAAATCCAACAGAAATAGGAAAATATTTTGTCAATCCTCCTTCAGTTTGAACACAAGTAACAGCTCTAGTATACATATCTTTAATGACTTGAATATAAGTCATATCAACACATTTCTTCTCGAGAACTCTCCAAAGGATATCTCTTGGAACATTTTCGTAAGCTTTTTCTAAATCAATAAAAATCAAATGTAGATTCTCCTTATTATCTCTGAACTTCTCCATCAAACCTAATAAATGTATAGCTTCCACCACAGTAGACCTGCCCGGTATAAATCCAAATTGATTATGAGAAATTTTTGTGATGCGTCTTAACCTATGTTCAATTACCCTCTTCCATAATTTTAAAGTATGACACATCAACTTAATTCCTCTATAATTTGCACACTCTTGTGCATCCCCTTTATTCTTAAAAATGGGGACCAAAATACTCTTCCTCCACTCCTCAGGCATCTTTTTAGTCTTTAAAATAATATTAAAGAGTTTAGTAAGCCAAGAAACTCCCAAATCTCCCAAATAATTCCACACTTCAATTGGGATGATATCAGGTCCTACAGACTTTCCACCCTTGGTTTTCTTTAAAGCCTCATCAACTTCTTTTTTACTAATGCGACGATAAAAATGAAACGTTTTATAATCATCCACGATATTAAGATCACTAAGGATAGAAAATATGATAATTAAATTTTCTTTTCTTAAAAGCTTTCTCACTCGTTTATGATGAAATTTTGAAACAAGGGTGAAATATTCCACACATCATTTGCCCAGCTAATGATTTGAAGTGGCAAAATTTTCCCCATGTTGAACAATGCAAATCTCTCCCATACTGTAACGTAGTTCTATTGTTCGATTTTCATAAATTGGACAAATAAGAACTTTAATTCAGCCAATTTTAAGCTCTTTTTTCATGATCTTCAATTGCTAACTGGAATAGAAATGCATGTCATCAGCATGATTATAACTTGACAATGCTTTTCTAAAACAGGTTTCTGAAACAAAAATGAAAAGAAAGCCAATCTTAGACTGGGATGAGGCCCAAAATGCTGCAACAACATTTGCCAAATTTTCCACTCCACCTGCAAAACCTGAACTAGTTACTGATCATTTTGATATGCTTTCTGCGGAGAAACAAACCGATAGTGGACATGAATCATCTGCTTTTGAAGACGATGGATGGGCAGATTTCCAGTGTGAGTTATACTTCTTTCTCACTCTCCATGATCTTCTTTTCTTTGAAAGATGCGGCTGTCTAAATTGGTCAAATATATTGCCCCTATTGGCATGTATCAGCCTAAACCTATCTGCATAATTCTGAATGCCCTCCATAGATCCTCTATATGTGACATCTTTTATCATATTATAAGTTGTTGCATGGATATTGCACTTCACATTGAATGTGGCAGATGATGTGCTTTGGTTTGAAACTAAAGATGTTGGTTAATAATAATTACCTGCAGCTCATTTATATTTTTTCTAAATGCATTTACCTAGGGCTCGAGAGCTTTACCCAACTGTGTTGGAGAAATTAATGGATGCAACCTTAATTTTATGTTGTAGTGTATCTTTTGGTGGTTTTTTCTTGAGATACCTCAAAAAAATTGGCATGTGGGACACGCACAAGGTATTCTTTAGTAGAAGGCGAAAAAATTGTTCACTTTGTGCACATCATGTAGTTGCCTATTATGTCTTGCTGATTCAAACGCATAATCTCCTAATATCAATAGAGGAAATTGATGATGTGGAACTGTAGCTTTTGTTACTTATACAGGTTGGCATCTTTCTTATGAGTATTGTGATGCCAATGCGTGTTTCTTGATCCTGTAGTGAACATGCATGTCATCTGGAAAGTGGTTTATGTGATTTAGACTGTAGTGTGCTTTTTAATGTTTTGGATAAGGCTTATGAGGCTTTGGATGATAGCTTGCTAAACGATGTTTTGGATAAACGGCTATGGGATTCTTAAGATTCGATTGAAGTTGATGCTTATTTTTGGGTCAAACTTAAACTTGGATTAGGCCTTTCTTTTGCCAGCCATGTATTTACGGAACTAGGGGGATGAGGTGTCTATATATAAATGAGCCTGAGATGCGATTTAATAGATTGATCAAATAAATTTCTTTCTAATTTTTACCTGGTGGGGACAATTTAAGTGTGCTATAAGTACAACTATCTAATTTTGACGTGTCGTCCCTGAAGATTCGCAAATCTGAAGATTAAGGTTCTAGGTTAAATTTTTAGAAAAAGGATTGGATTACAAGTAAGAGACTTCTAAGAGATTTTGCCATTTTTTTATGAGGACTTTGTGATTTGGTTTAGATTTCCCGTAGAAGCAATCCTCTATAGTTAATAATCCTTCCTTATTACGGGAGAGAGTTTTAACTAAGACTAGTTGATAGGCATAAATGCTTAGCATGTAGTAGTAAGCAATTTTTTTTTTTTTTAATTGGAAAAATTTACATTCTTTAGCTTATAGCAGATGATGGTGGGAGAAATAACAAATCCAATCAAGGTCCCTGATATTGCAATCTCAGATTGTCAATTACTTTTTCTTTATATAGTTAGAGAAGATTGTAAACCTAACTTGACCTCAAGATCATTATCGATAGTCATGAGTTTTATTGTTCAGGAGGACTTTATGAGTTTAAGCTGTATGTTTGTATAAGGAGACATGTAAATCGACCTTAACTAATAGAAAGTTTCATACTAATAGAATGCACTCCATAATTCACCACTTAGTAAGGGTGTTGAAATATGACTAGAAGCGATAACTCAAAATGGACCTGACCTAAAAAAATTTGCGGTTGTGTTAACCCCAACATCATTATTAAAATAGTGAATGAAAGAATTATTCCTAAATGAGAATCAAAAAGGATAATCAAACTTAACATTTTTTTTCTTAATATTGAAAATAATGATAAAATACATGTCTCACCCAATTCTCCTATATATTTTAAAAGTCATTTTACAAGATATACCCAAATATGCATTTTGTGATAATGATGGGGAGACCAAAAAACTAGTTAGAAATCAAGATATACTGCACGTGAAGTCGCTCGTCTAATTTAGAAGGCTCAAGCATAAAGATAGTTGTCAATTCGAAGGAGCCCAACACACACGACACTCGTATAGTTCAAAAAACTCAAGCTCTTAAGGTTAGGAGTTATAATAAGAAATAATTTATTCCTGTAAGAAGTTATGATGCTTAAATTATTTCCTTAGATTAAGGAGATATTTTCTTTCCTACTTTATATTTTTTTCCTCGGATTAGGAACTTTTTGTTTTCCTATTTTATGTTATTTCCTATATCTCCTAATAATATGAATTGATTATTGGAGATATTAGGTGATATATCTTTCCTTTCATATCATTTCATTTTTATTATTTTTTCTATTATAAGATTCTTGTAAGGGTTATTTATATCCCCGTTCATATCAATGAAATAATCGAGTATTGTCACTGATAGATTTGGATCCAACATCTGGAACAAAAAACATAAAAATATGTTCATAGTTTCTTTGTTTCTAGGACTTTAATACCTGGACTTTTGTGCGTATTTGATTGGGAGTTTTGTTCAATTTATACAACATGATTCCATGTAACCTCTAAATACAGATACTACTAATTATATTGGAATTAATGAAGATCATAATTTTATTTCTCTTAAAATCTATGAATTTTTTGCCGCTGAAGAGACCTGCAAAATGCAAATTTGTAAACAATGGACTGCTAGCTTTGCAAAAACTGCCAACAATCTTGAGTGGTGTAACTCAATAATTTCTTTTCATTTCTTTCTCATTATAAAGCATGCAATGTTGGTGAAGTGCAAATAATTTTGCATTGTAAGCAATTTCTGGCAATAATTCAATAATGATGATTCAAAACAGTATTCTTATTTTATCCATAATGACTTCCCAAGGTTTATCTTGCTACCTATGAATTGTCTATTTTGTGTTAGTGGAAATAAAACGGTATGATTGTACACCATTCTCAATCAAATCGCTCATCTTATCTAAGAACTCTTGACTTGGCATTAGAACAACTTTTGATGCATATCTGTATCACTTCTCTAGAACGGTAGTCTTACCATTAAAATAACCTTAATTACAGCTGTAGAAGCAAATGCTAAAGCAAATAAAGATGCTCGCAAGGAGGTAGCTGCTGAAGCAAATGCTGCTGTCAGTGAAGATGATGCTACCAAAAGAGTTCCGGAGACAAATCAACCTGTGCTGGACCTCGAAGACCTATTTAAGGATGCATCATCAGTGACTGAAATTTCAGGCCAGCAGAAGTCCAAGGATAGTTTAAAGGATGACATAATGAGCCTATTTGATAAGGTTATTCCATCCAAACCACTGATTAAGCAATTAATTGCAATAATGATCATCATCTATCCTGGAACATCGTACAAGTTTACCAATATCATTTAAATCGTTTCTTATTTATGTACTGTTAGATGATTATATTATTCTAATGTTTTGGTGCAGTCCAAGATGGTTTCCCCATTTGCCATTCATCAGCAGCAGCTTGAATATCATTCTCAGCAGCGAAGTTTTCTCATGGCTGCTGCAAATTCTGGCAGTACTCCAACCATTCCTGTCATGACTCACCAACCAGGCACCGCTATTGCAGGCACATCCAATACTGTTACTTCAGCAGCAAATAGGCTCACTCCAATTTACCAAATTCCAGTTATGTTGCAAGCTGATGGAGAACATGATACTAATAAATCCAGTCAGGTGATGGATGCTTTGTTGAGTTTCAATGATAATTTTTTGATCATTAATATATGAAAATTGTATATTGATACATTGTTTTCGTCTTTGTAAATCAGCGGTATAAAATTATGCCAGTACAATCATTGGAGAACTATGGATCCTCCACATCACTGTAAACTCTTCGCACTTTATGGCATTAGATGAGTCTTCCATTTCGTTTCATTGTTTGTTTTCTCTCTATTGGGATTATGATATTAGAAGAATTCACTCCAAATAGTAGTTTAGATTATAAATTGGTTGTTGTGATCATAATGAAAGAAATGGATAAAATATTATACTTATAATACAAATTTTTTGTTAAACCAGTCTCATATTCTATTTTATTTCATCCTTGTGATCATTGAAGCTTGCATGCCGTTTTTTCCCCTTCTTTTTATCCTTTCTATTCCATTGCATATTTGAATACGTCCAAATTTCCTTTGTATTCACCTTTTGGCTTGTTATTAGATCTTGACTTGATTTATTCACAATAAATTGAATTTAAAATATATTATAGCGCCGTATATGGCTATTTTTATGTTGTTTTTAAATGAAATACATGCGTTCTTTTCTACATCATTAATCCTTGTGTTCTCTTTTCAGCTTACAAACATTATGTATATATTTTGATGGTTTAGGCTCTATTTGGATGCTCTTTTTGGATTATGGGCATTTAAGTGAAAGGAAATGAAAATAGATTTTTATAAAAATCTCAAATTAGTAGCTGTTGACTGACAGTAAACTAACTTTTTGTATTTCACTTCAATCCACTTTCCTCCAATCTAAACAAGCCTTAAGCAACTTCATGATTAAAAAAATTTAGACAAGGAGTTTCTTTCGACTCTTTTGATATGCTTGAGGAACATGCATACACTGTTGAAGTCGCAATCACTAAATTAATTAATTAATGTTTTACATCAATGCATGCATGGTTGCAATTAAGAACTTTGTGCGTTGCACCATAATCAGATGAGTATATGGCTATTTTTTTTTCCATGTATTTTGAGATTTTTCTATTTCTAAAGGACTACAGAAAATGTCTCGCAGGTCTTCAGCAGCAACCGCCAATTCCTCCTCCAACGGCCAACAAGGAAATGACTTTGCTTTTTCATCATTAACCGAAGGGATGTTTTCAAATCGTTAATGACATCAGCATATTCTTGTTTCTCGTTAAAGGCAAAGGAACCAAATAAGTTTTATAAGTTGTCTTCATTTGTATATTCACATGAAATGAATAAAACGTGCATTTTTTCTTAACATTCATTGTTGCTCTTGAAGGATTCGACATTTTTAGGTATTTTTTCTCCATTTCTAAGCGTTAATATTCTTGGAATCTATGAATTTTTAATCCAAAACGAAAGCTGTTAGTTTGGGGTAATTTTTTCCTTCCTTTTTTCATTGCTATCATAATTTTGTACAATATTTTTTTCTTAATTATTTTTCAAAAAATTCTTATGGTGGGAAGTTGTATGGTTATAGATATAATAAAACTTTTGCCTTTTAAATAAAATATATTTAAAAATTTTAATTGTTTTTGTTTTTTTTATGTAAGTGTTCTACTACTATATAAAATATTTACTGCTCCTAAATGGATTATCAAATGCGTAATAGGAGCCTGGATGAGAAGAAATGTGAACGAGAAGAAATTATGTACATTTTAATTAAAAATAATATTTATATATAATGAATTAACCTATGTTTTATAAAGCGTTGATGTCCCTCATGTTTAATATAAATATTATTTTTATAGTATTACATTAAGATAAATAATGTAATATTATATTAAAAGAATTAAAAAAATATATTATAATAAAATACCCTATTTTTTTCAAATTGCAAAAGGATTAAGATTATATAATTAAGAGAAACGAATGTCATAATATTATCGAAATATATATATATATATATATATATATATATATATGCAAAAGGGAGCCTCTTTTGTCTCCCTCCGTGTTAATTACTTAAATATGATCAATACATCCAGAGAGTGTTACAGCAGGGAGAAGAGAGAGTAAAGGCTACATCAAAATGTGAGGTAATTAAGAAAATACAAGGCATGTCTAAAAAAAGAAAGTAAATAAAGCATCTAGCTCCTAGCAACTCTGAGGTAAGGTATTTGTAATTTGTCACCCTTTAACATGCCAGCCAATATCTGTGTAGGATTAGTAGCAACAGCTACTCTTTGGGATTCAACACCTTCAATAGCTAGGTAGTTAGCTGGTTTGTTTCCCTCCCTATAGGTAAAACAGTAATTGATTTGTATCTCCTTGGTGAGATGTTTTATCTTAATAATCCACTGTTGGATATGCCATGGAGGTACAACAATACCTGTCATATACTCAATCAGCATAGAGGAATCAACCTCAGCTTGAATTTGTGTCCATCTATTTATAATTGCCATTTTGATGGCCCAGTAAAGAGCAGCTATCTCAGCTTCCAAGGCATCTTCAACATCAATTGGAGCATTGAAGAACATTATGCATCTGCCTTTGTAATCTCTGAATCTGAATACCCCTCCAATCTCTGCTGTGTGGGCTGTAAAGCTTCCATCTGTGTTAACTTTAAGGTGGGGATAACTGGGTTTTTTCCAGTAGATTTTTATGACTTTACTGCAGATCTATTCCATGCTTTGGCTCATCTTAAGGATGTTTGGAAACCCCTTCCAAATGATTAGCTTTTTGATATAAGCAAGACAATTTGTCTCCACCGTTGTGGTATTCACCTTATGCTCTTCATGCTTGTTTTTGTTCCTTGCATTCCAAATGAATCAGGCTAGGGATTGTACATAGTTTAACTTTTTCCCAGTCTGACCAACACTTCTTAAGTTGTTCCCATCCTAAGTTGATAGTGTTGATGTGGAAATTAATTGTCAGGGATCCCCAAACCTTCTTGGAGAAGTCACACTGAAAAAAAAGATGAGTAGCTGTCTCTTCACTGTTCTGGCAGAGATAGCATTTTGAAGGCCCCTTCAAGCTCTTTAACTTGAGAATATCATCAATAGGGATTAAGTTATTCAGCACTCTCCAAGAGAAGAAAGCCATAGAGGGAGATAGGAATTTGTTCCACAGATTTTCACCCCAAGAGGTTTCCTCCCAGATGAACAGCTGATTGTAAATGGCTTGGGTCACACTTTGGGTTGAGCTAACTTTTATAATCATCCTATCCTTATTATTTCTGTCAAATTGGATTTTAGATATCTGCCTCATGGAGTTTTCTGTGACAACCTTTTGGAGTACTTCCTGAGACCACTTCTGCCCCTCCCAACAATCCTTCACCATTAGGTTCCTATCCAAATTCACATCCAAAGGTTCAATAGTGTTCTCTGGGCACCATTTGTCCTGCCAAAAGTTGATGTTACCTTGACCCAACTCCCAAGTGTAGGGATTTTTAGCTTGTTTCAACATCTGTTTCCAGGTCTTAGAGTCTCCCAGTTTGGCCCTCACCTGGTTAGGATGATCCCATTGATTAAAACAGTGTTAACATTTCCTTCAAGCCATCTTTGGATGATTTTACAGGAGTCTTTTGTAAAACCCCTAGCCTTCATAATCTCCATGATGAAGTTCCAATTGATCATATCATAAGCCTTCTTCAGATCTAATTTAAATATTTTGTTGCCCCTTCTGCAGGGTTTATCTAGATCCAACAGAAGCTCTAGAAGCTCTTAATAGAAGATCTTGGTCTATCATAATGTTGTCCCCTATGTTTCTCCCTTTCACAAAGGCTGCTTGTTTGAGGCTAATGAGATGTTGAAGAATGGGTTGGATTCTAAAAACCAGAATTTTGCTAATGATCTTACTAACAATGTTAGTAAGACTAATAGTTCTGTAGCTACTCCAATACTCTTTTTCTGATGATTTAGGCACAAATATAATGGTAGCAGTATTGAAATAGTCTAGTAAAGGTTGTCCCTTGTATAGCTTCAACAAGCTGTAAACAAGCTGTACTTTGATGACCTCCCAAGCCTTCTTATAGAAATCAACAATGAAACCATCAGGACCTGCTGATTTGGCACTATCAATAGAGAAGAGAGCTCTTTTTATTTCTTCCTCTCCAGGGGTTTCAGCTAGCTTCAATATCCTTCTCATCTTAGAACAATTCTGATTCCACATGCTGTCTTTCAGTTAATTCAAAATGCATTAGATCTTTACAGTAGGCCACAACACTGTCAGCAATCCCTTGAGCATCTCTAATCCAATTTCCTTGGTTGTCTTTGATAGAGTGAATGGTGTTGCATTTTCTTTGATACTTGATGCAGGCATGATAAAATTTAGTGTTTCTGTCACCATCCATGAACTTGTTCTTTGCTGCCTTTTGTTTCAGGAATTGTTCTTGCCATTCAACAACATTCAATAACTTTTCATTGGCTTCCAGAATGAAAGAATCTCCCACGTGACCCTTGTCGTGTCCTTCCTCTAGAAGTTGGAGCTCTTTCTTAGCCTATTCCACTCCAGTCAGAATATTCCCAAATGTGCTCCAATTCCAATTATTAAGAGCTTTAGCAGTCTTTTTCTGTAGATTCCACAACTTGATTAGGGGGTTTTTGTAATCACAATCCTTCCAATTCTCCTGAACAATATGTATGAAATCTCTATGGCTTGACCAAACATTAAGATATCTGAAGGAGGTTTGCTATTGTGTTCAATGGATGAGATGGAAATTAACATAGGTCTGTGATCAGACCCTGCCAGACTAAGGTGAGTGACATCAGTTTGCAAATAATTTTGAATCCAGCTGTCATTAACCAAGAACCTATCCAATCTCTCCCAAATTTTTCCCCTTCTCCAAGTGAACTCTGGTCCATTGAATCACAAATCAAATAGCCTAGCAGAATTGATGTTGTCATTGAATTCAATCATGTTATTAGTGGAAGGATTTCTTCCTCCCTTTTTTTTCAGCAGGTGAAGAAATGCAGTTGAAATCTCCTCCAACAATCCATGCAGTGTTTGTCTAGCTTCTAATTTGGTGGAGCTCCTTCCACAGTCAATTCTTGTTGATTTGGAGGATCCATCATAAACAAAAGTGGCTTGGCCAACCTGGTCTGCCATGTTAAAAGAGCAGTGTATGAATTGTGAATGATTGAGCAAAATCTTGCAGTTCATTTCAATTCTACTCCAAATCCAGATTTTGTTATTTAGATTAGTGTTAAAAGAGCACTCTGGGAAGGCTTTAGCATATTTCTGAATATTTTGATGAACCAAAGGTTCCATGATAACCAAGCACCAACACTTGTACTTCTTATTTAAATACTTTAATCTTTTTAAGGAAGGAAGATCAGCAATCCACCTTATATTCCAACATATCAAATTAATCATGCTATTGGGGTATGGGAAGATGGTTGGGACCTAGATCTTGTCCTTCCCCTGGTTGTGTGAGAATTATTTATCCTTTGTTCCTTCTGCTGTTCTCCATTCTTTATTTCAGTGTCTTCTCTAAGCTTCCTCTTCCTTTTTTTCTGTTGTGTTTTCCATTCACTTTCCATTGAGTATTGTATCTCTTGTATCATCTGCTCTGAAGGTGTGCACTTCATTTTACTGCTTGAGACCCCATCCATATTTCCTTCGTTTTGTGGGACTTGTCCCACATTTTCTATTTCTTTTCTTGAGCGATTGCTGGCTTCATTATCCCCAACTAGTTCAACATCTATAGTTTTGTCATTGGTCTGTTTATCTACCTCTTTTTCTGTTGGGCTTGGCTATGTGAGAGATCCTACAGGTTGATTTTTTCCTTCATGTACCCTTGGATCACCCCATGGTTTCTCAGCATTATTTGCTGTGAATTTGGCTAAGTTTTTGCTCCTTCTTACTTGTTGTATTTCTCCTTCCTGATTCAGATTACAATTTGCCTCCTCAACAACTTTTGAAATAGGATTTGTTGGTAGTCTTTTGGTAGGTGGGTGTAGTCTGTAACATTTTTCCTTAGAATGTCCAAATATTTTGCAATGTTGGCAATAGTAAGGTTTTTGTTCCATGACTACCTCCTGCCAGAGACCTTCTGCTTCATCACCAATCCTTACTCTTTTTAGCTCAAGCAATGTGATGTTCCTTTCTATGAGAATTCTTGCACTTGCTGGTCTTGCTATGTTGTACGTGGGTGCATCCACTTTAAGATGAGTACCAATAGCACTGCCTATGTTGAATAGGGCATTTAGATTGAACAGGTGGAGTGGAAGTCCTGGTAGTTTGAACCAGATTGGAACCACAAGAGGTTCCTTTGAAGGATCAAAGTCTGGTGTCCATTTTAAAATCTTCATGTCA